TGTATGAACTGTGGTGGCAGTACTACAGTACTACTAGAGGGCGGTACTACATTCACTGCTTACTCCAGGAGTTTGATTCTGAGCAGCTCAAGGTTGACTCAGCCTTCTGTCTTTCTGAGGTCAGTCAAATAAGGAGCCAGATTGTTGAGGGAAATCTGCTGACTCTGTAAAACTGCTTACGGAGGAGGTCTGTAAAGCACCGTGAAGCGGTATATAAGTCTAAGTGCTATTGCTATGTTTAGAGCAGCATTTCCCCAGCATTGGCTAGGGCAGCGATGGAGAACCTTTTTTGGCTTGCGTGCCATGGGGGGGGGAGTGCAGGGGGGGGTCTAATAATGCAACACACGGCCCCCAAGAGCGCATGCACATATGAGAGGTGCTCCCCTCATTTTTCCATGCTTTTTTCACCCTCCCTGGGGTCCAGAGGCTTTATAGGAGCCTGGGGAGGGCGGAAACAGCCCTCCGGAGACTTCAGGGATCTTCAGGAGGCTTCCCTGTTGGTGTTTGTCGGTAGCTCCTGTTTTACTCACCTCGTCTTATGCATTTTGTCAGTGTACGCTGCTCTGTAGCACACAATTATTTGATAGAAGATGACAAGGTGTAGTTTCAAGAGCCAGTTTGGTGTAATGAGTAAAGCATCAGCCTATAAACTGGGAGACTGAATTCTATTTCTGCCTTAAACACAAAGCCAGCTGGGTGACTTTAGGCCAGTGCGTCCCCTTTTCAGCCACAGCGAGAAAGCGATGGGACACCGTTTTCAAAAGAATTTGCAGTCACCGAGAGTCAAAAACTGACTCGAAGTTACCCACAATCCTACCAACAACAAGGTGATCTATGGCCCTTCCATTTTGAAGCGCAAGTCCATCAGGAAAAACGACTGAACATCTAAAATGTAGTCACACGTGATCCAACATCGGAACATCAATACAGGATGTTAAGTCCTTTTTGGGATGTCCATTGTAACTTTGAAGGGTCACTAATGACCGGTTGTAAGTCGAGGATTACCTATAACAGTGTTGCTCTCCTTGTTATCTGAGAATTTGTCCGAATCTCCAACGGAAAGGAGGTTTGGAGGTAACATATGAAGCTGAAGGCTCGGTAGAAAGGAAAGATTTAGCAATGTTCCTTCTTCATCGCTTGCTCTTCCTCCTGAAAGGAACTCAAAAATTATCCCCCAGTTCCTCAGCTTTATTGAATGCAGAGAAATCTGTTATATTGTCATGATATATATGTTTATATAATTTCAAATAGTACCTGGCACATATATTTCAAGATGCTGAGGAACTCGTAGTTCAGATGCACTTTCTTTGAAATTTTCCAGAACAAAGAAATGAGCAATAATAATCGTAACTGTAAATAATAATGAAGAGTTACCAAAGTACACGGACTGAATTCCTCCATCCCCCGCTTCCCTTTCAAACCTTATGTAATACTGGAATTATTTGACACCTATAAAACAGCTCTCATAAAGTATTTTATAGAACATTTTTCTTTCTCATAACACTGTTGACTGACTGCTTTTTCCACAAATTCCTCTTCTGGGTACAAGGTTGTTCTTCAGTCTTTCAGTCTTGCTAGGAGTGAGTCAGCTCTTCATTTCCCACCAGAGATTTATTGATCTGAACTCCCAACTGTAAAAAGCTAATGTCCAGTTTATATAACAAATTGAGTCTGGCATATTCATTTTTAAAAGACTTTTAGCACTCAGAACATGGTGAGAAGAACACTTGCTATTATCAAAAATGTTCCAGAGTGGCGCAATTATTTCCTCTATTTTTCCCAAATAACGCTTAAAATAATAATACTTCAAAATATGTGGGATTTCTTTGTTTTCGAGTTCTTCTTTCTTTCCTATTCATGTCTGGGCAATCTCCATCATCAACCTTGAAGTAGTCTTTTAAATTTAAATCTACAGGGCTCAAGCCCTGACTATCCTTCACACTTCTCCCTTATTAATCTTCATTGCATAATTGTTGAAGAGTAAGTTAAAATTACTAAACAGTTTTACGCATTTTCCAGATAAATCTGGTGCTGCCCACCACATCCCTTCCGAGGGCTTAGAAGGGTAAGAGAAAAAGGCACTGAAGAATGTTGACACGCTAATTTTAGAATACGTGAAGAAGAACTCTGCACTTAATTATATGTGTTCCTTAGGGAAAATAATCTGGAAAAAAAAGTTAATTACAACTTTGGTTTTAATGTTAATTAATTTTGTGAAACAATCCGTATTTAAATATGAAAAACTTTGCAAATAAATGGAACAGATGCTCAGTGTCCTCCCTCCCTCTTTATGCTGAGCTGAGATTTTGAAACTTGGTCCTCTTAATGAAATTCCAAACCCCTAAAACACTCGCATGCAGTACGGGCGGTTCTCGGCTTACAACCATTTTTTTAGTGACCATTGGAAGCTACACTAAAAAAAAGTGACTTATGTCCGTTTTTATACTTAACAATCATTGCAGCATCCTCATGGTCATCTCGTGATCAAAATTTGGATGCTTGGCAACTGGTTCATATCTATGATGGCTGCAGTGTCCTGGGGTCACATGATCAGCTTTTGCGGATCTCCTGACAAGCAAAATCAACGAGAAAGCTAGAGTCACTTAACAATTGTGTTACTAAGTTAACAAGTGCAGTGAGTCACTTAACAACTGTGGCAAGAGAGGTCGGAAAATAGAGCAACACTCACTTAACAACTGTCTTGCTTAGCAACAGACATTTTGAGCTCAGTTGTGGCTGTAAATCGAGGATTACCTGTAAATGCACAGACCACCCAGCTCAACATTTCAGCTGCTTCTGTGGCATGTATCTGCTTTCTGCTGCTGCTAAAAGTTGATGGCAAACTGATTCTTTTAAAAATAATTTTAATGAAGATTTTAATTACAGTAGTAAAAGCGAATATAAACTAAACTCAGAGAAAGAATGAGAAATAGAAGAAATAAAAAGTGCAGGGAAAGAAAAAGGAGAAGGCAAGAATAAAGGAAAATAAATACATAAAGAAATGACTTCCAATCTTCATCACAAGTATAAACAAACTTGATAACTCATCACCCCCAATGATATTATAAACAAATAGATCTCTTCCTGTACTCTATCCCTTATCGGTATGCAAGCCCACAAATCTTCATTTATTTCAGCCCTGGCATCAGCAAAAAGCCTTTAAAGAATGATCAGAGCTTTATAGAGCCATCTTATTTAACCTTGGTCAAACAAAACAGCTTTATATTCCTTCCGACGATCTTTAATTCATTCAAAGGTCACAGAGTTCTCTTTCCAGTTTCTCTTTTTCCATCCCAAAGGTTTGCTTGAGGCTTTAGCAAACATCTTTTGTAAAACCCATAAAAATATTACCCAGATTATTCCCTTGCTTTATCCTTTGTATTTTCACTTTGACTTTCAAAACTTTAATCAACCTTTATATATCCAATAGAAAGTCCCTCATCAGGTCATTTTCATGGATTGTCATTTGTAGTTCCACTTTAGCTGCCTTCTCTATCTTGCAATCCGTTGTTGTTGTTGTTGTTGTTGTTGTTGTTGTTATACTTTTATTAATAAAACATGAAACTCAGCCAACTGAACATTTAAAGATGTATCACAAATATTATTGACTGGCACTGCTGGTTGATACGGGTTGCTGCCAGCATCCTAGGTATCGACCAAGTATCTTCTTAAAACGTATGATTTCTGAGGTTTTTTTTGCAGTTCTGCAGGTCTTATTGCAGAAAGCTGTAATTTCTTGATGTATTTTGTAAAATTCTTGGACATGGTGCCCGGATGACAATGGGTATCACTGTCATATGTTTAATCCATAATCGCATAGTTTCAATGGGCCAGGTTGCAATATTTTGTTATTTTTTCTAGCTCTTTTCCAGATGATAATGATGATGTAGTATTTCTGGTTGTGCTGTTTTTGTATGAGGTAAAATTTATTCCAAGTCAGTCCTATCTTTTGGACATACTATTCATGGAAGCAGATATCACGGCTGACATCATAGCTACCAATTTCTGGCTCCATTCTTTGGAAATCTGAAACATTTCAAATGTTTTCTGTCATTTTGTAAATTTCTGTACTAAATGAAAACAAAAGACAAGTTTACGCTTTCCCCCCTTTTTCTTTTCTGCTTAAAATCTTTAGTCCCTTCTAGTATCCAATTTCTGAAATGTCTGTTATGATTTAAGATAGAAAGAATAATTTGGTTCCCACACAAAGATATGCATTTTATTTAATTATTTCTAAAATCTTATAATAAAAGTTTCAATATTTTAAATTTGTCTGTACTTTAATTCATTTGTAACTCTTGGATAAAAATCTTATTTAGCCTTTTGGTGTTTATTTCCATTCTTAAAATTGTCCTTATTTTTTTTTTTCTGTTCAAGAGAGAAAGTAAACTCATTACGTGGTTTTTCAAACTTTTCATTCCAAAGATCTCCAGTAGCTTTAGGATAATTAAATAAACAATTCCTGAAAGCGATTAGAAAGTGAAGTTATCCAACCCCATGTCCCTGAAAAGGCTCTGCTGTGATTGTCTGCATGTTGGGTGATACCTCTGTCTCCCTCAAACCTGGAGTATACCGTAATCTGCTACGCTTTTGCCTTGCCCACATTCCATAAGATTTGACTGATTAATTATTTGATAACTTCAGTTTCTAAGACCGCTCATTCACCAGCAATTCTGGACATGCTACGGACAATTAAGTGTAGTTCTTGGTAAAAGAAAATCTGCACCTTTACTCTTTGTGCTTAAGACTAAACCACATTTGATTTTGTTAATCCGTAGTTGCTTCCAAATTCTGTGATTTTGAACTTTAATGTACGGTTGCTTTTACAAGCTTCACATTTTTATCTGTGTGCATAAGTGTGTGTGAGTGTGTTTTGACCTGAGTGATTATTTCATTGGTGTTTATAGTCAAGTATAGTCACTCTATTTATGACTAATTGTAATATTTATTGGTACTCGTGGACTTTAATTATGTACTCACTTTAATTATTTATTTTCCAGCCAGAAAACCTGCAGAAGAATTGGCTTCGGGAATTCTATCAGGTACCCATTTATGTTTTCATTCATTTTGGGTTTGTTCATTAAGTACAGGGAGTCCTCAACTTACGACCACAATTAAGCCCAACATGCATGTTGCTAAGTGATAAATTTGTTAAGTGAGTTTTATCCCATTTTACGACTTGCAACATTTTTTAAGCGAAACCCTGGCTTCCCCGTTTGTCTTTGCTTGTCAGAAGGTTTCAAAAGGGGATCACGTGGCCCTAGAATGCCGAATCCGTCATAAATGTGAGACAGCTGTCAAGCATCCAAATGTAAATCCCACGACTATGGGGGATGCTGCATCGTAAAGTGTGAAAAATGCTCACACGTCCCTTTTTTCAGCGCCGTTGAAACTTTGAATGGTCACTAAATGAACTGTTGTAAGTTGGGACTATCTGTAGTTCATTACATCTCTCCTTTCTCCACCCCTCCCACCCACCCACCCCCCACCCCCGCACAAAGAACTGAAACCGCAAGAAGCTTCTCCACCACCGCCTCTCTATTCCACGCAGCAATTATTCTGCAAGAGATACTAAAGCTGCCAATCTGTGGCCAATGGGGGGATCCCTCCAAGAACTCAAAAATCTCTTCCTCTCTGACTTTCTAGCAGCTTAAAATGTCCGTGGAGATTCTCAGTCATGGTCGTCCCAAAGGAGCTTTTTCAGAAGGCAACTCGACTTCCTTTGTTTTCCCTTGGAGATGCTTCGCTTCTCATCCGAGAAGCTTCTCCTCGGCTGAGAAGCGAAACTTCTCCAAGGAAAAACACAGGGAGTCCAGGTGCCTTTTGGAAAAGCTCCTTTGGGATTTCTAGCAGCTTGTATTTATCGCTTGGACACTGGAGGTTTCGTCCATCAATCACATACGGCTTCTCCATCAAGTTGCCTATGACTGTTTAATTAAAAAAAACTGTCAAAATTGATGGCGGCCATGAACTGTGAGGCCAGTGAATTCTACATTTTAATTACCCTTTATGACATATTTCGTTGCTTTGATCCTGAATCAACATTAGTTCTTTCTGGACGTTTTTACTTATTGTTTTTAATTTTTTTCATTGTTTTATAGTTTCAGAACTACAAACTACCCAAAGCCTCTTGGTTGAGTTGGGCGGCTGTGGATATTGAACAAACAAAGATTGCTCTTTTTTTTTTTAATATTGACATATCTCCATATTTCCCATGTCAAGGTTGCTTTTGTGCATCTCTGTCCCCTTGCCACTGGCCGTCCTTCTCTTCAAGTTGCAAGCGTCAAAAACTGTTCCCCCAGTCCATCCCCAAAGTTGGGGGGGTCTACAGGGAGTGGGTTTAAAAATGCAAATTGCAAGTGCCATTTTTTCTTTCGCAGCCTGGAATTCCTTTGAAAATGGTCTGGTCCTCTACATATTTTGCTTATTCTTTTCTGCATATTTCCCAACTCTTACAGTCCCTTTTTTCCAGTCCATAAACTAGAGCCGTATGGGCTATTTTTCACACTTTTGACCATTGCAGCGTCCCCACAGCCACATGATTTACATCCGGATGCTTGATAACCGGTTTATACTTATGATGGTCCTGGAGACATGTGATCACCTTTTGCGACCTTCGGGGAAGCAAAATCAGAGGGGAAGCCAGATTCACTTAACAATGGTGTTACTAATTTGACTATTGCAGTGATCCACTTAACAACTGTGACGAGAAAAGTCATAAAATGGGACAAAACACACTTAACAAATTTCTCACTTAGCAACATAAATTCTGGGCTCAAATTGTGGTTGTAAGTTGAGGACTACCTGTATGTCAGGACATCACTGTATTGAGAGGGTTTTTAAAAAAATCTGTTCCTTAATTTTTTTCTGTTTCTCCGTTTCTTTCATCACACAATGTGTATTAAACTGGCCACTGTGACTCAACACAAATCTTCTCCCGCTAATCATTGCACGAGACAGTTCCTTTACGCCAAGTTTCCCAAAATTGGTCATTCCGGCTTCACCTTGGATTCGTAAAAATAAAGATTAGAAGGTTCCATTTTGAAGGAGGCAATCACGGCAGCCAGAGGGATGCGTCACCTATGCGGCAGAAGAAGCAGCTGGAGTTTAGATGGTTTGTTTTGGGAAGTTAAGACTAAGATAAACCACAAACCACATTTCCTCCTATGCGCTTCTGGGCTATGAATTTACATATGTCATTGTGTCAACCAACAACGGTACAACTTTCTTTGAGTAAAAGACTTTATTTTAAAATGAGGAAGAAAGTTCTTGGTGGGACTCTCATGAATTTCTAGAAAATAGAACATACGACTCAAATCCCTTTTTGTAATTTTTGGAAAACCACTGTGGTCATGTTTTCTTGGTTAGTTTAACTGTTTCAACTGAAGTTTTGATTAAAAGTGCTGTTTATATTTTGCCGTTTGGAGCAGATTGGTAAATCTAAGGTTTGTTGAGTAGCAATAACATCTTTTTTTAAACAAAAAAAAATTCCAGTTGCATTGATCCATTGTGTTCCTATACAGTTAATAGAAGAGGTAATACTGATTTTTTTTTTCATATTTGTGCTTGCGTGTTATCAGATCCTGCGTTTCGAAACCACAAAAACCATTACTGTCATTGTGTTATTGTGATGCCAACTTGTTACTTATCGTTTTTCTAGCTTGAATGAAGTTGTGATAGGTTTGTTAATTAGCTCACATTATGAGGCAACAACAAGAAACCGTGAAAGAAACAATTTATTTGCATGTCATGATAAGCAAAAATTCTGAAGAAATTTGGCATATTGTGAAATGAATTTTCACTCTTGTTTGGCTCCTCCCACCAAAAGGAGTTTGTTAAATCTGTTGAAACTGTTTCCATGGTTTGTTTAGCCTGGAATAAAAATAATTTGGAACTCTGGCTCGTTTCTCTCCGACAAATTAGTTTTGGAATCTTTTCCGTTTCAGAAAAGTTGGCCTTGACTTAGGAGTAACTTAAGCAAAGTGGCACATTTGGGAAAGTTGTCCAGGCCGGCTCAGGATAACTAAGAAAGGCCGTATGTCTTTGTATGAAATGATCATATAAGTTTTTTTGTGTGTAAGCTGTTAGCAATAGGCGGATAAAGCAGATTGAGTCATGGGTAGATGGGTAGATGGGTCCTGATATAATGAGCTACCTGGAAGGATTTTTATTTATCCTGGCAGGAAAAAAAAGATCTGAACACACTTCTAGTAGAAACAAAGATTTGGTATCCATCACAAGAAATATATCAAGCAGCTTTACAAATGAAGGATTCTTCGTACGAGAGTGTTAGATAAAAAAGAAGAGCTACGTAACTCTAAATTTTATATCCAATTAAATAGAAATCACATGCTAAGATTCAAAAGGGGAATTAAATGGGGGAAAAGTAACAACTTGAAAAACCGTACAGGTAGTCCTCGACTTACAACAGTTCATTTAGTGATCACTCAAAGTTACAATGGCACTGAGAAAAGTGACTTATGACCATTTTTCACACTTATCATCATTGGCAGCATCTCCATGGTCACGTGATCAAAATTTGGGTAGAATAGAATTCCTTATTGGCCAAGTGTGATGGGACACATAAGGAATTTGTCTTTGGTGCCTATGTGCTCTCGGTGTACATAGAAAGACAAGATACATTCGTCAAGAGCCATGAGGTGCAGCACTTAATGACAGTCATGCTTGGTAACTGAGTCTTATTTATGACGGTTGCAGAGTTCCAGGGTCACGTGATCAATTTTTACAAACTTCTAACAAGTGGAGTCAGTGGGGAAGCCAGACTCACTTAACAACCACGTTACTAACTTTAACAATTGCAGTGGTTCACTTAACAACTGTGGCACGAAATAGTCATAAAATGGAACAAAACTCATTTAACAAATGTCTTGATTAGCAACATAAACTTTGGGCTCAATTGTGGTTGTAACTCGAGGACTACCTACAGTTTGCTAAGATCACCCTGGTGGTGGAAATGACAGGTAACTGTCTTGTACCTGTTATCCCCCGTAATCCACATGTTAAATTTTCCGGGTAACTGCGGCAAGGTATCAGAACGGTCACCTTAACCCAAGGCAGAATCAGATCAACCTCTTCCAAATTGTCTCAACGCATTCATAATTTTAAGTAGTCAACCACAGAAGGCTGGTTTAGTCTTTGTCCAGGTGTTTGGGTGGACCATCATTCCAAGGATCGTTAAGCATGGGCCACTTTACATAGGTTGATTGAAAAACTTACAATATTAAAAATAAACATATTGTCAGGTATCTATGTCAACATTGTGTAGTGGTTTAATTTATGCATCCGTACTCCAAGCAATCGTGTATATTTCTTTGGAAATGAGGTTAACGTCGTGGACATGAGGAACCAAGCACTTTTCTGCTTGGTTTCCCGGCCTTAATGTGAGGCTTTGGGAGGCATTGCCTCCTCTGACCTGCAAACGGCGGTTGCCAAATTCCAGCTTGCCTTAAGCACCTGTGTACCTTCCTTTTAGCCCACAGTCTTGTTGCTGTAGCCGCCTCTTTGCAGAAACCTCTGGCCAAAAGTAACAAGACGGTAGTGATCAGAGAGACAGTATCAGAGGCGCAGTACTGCAGGCTCCTTCTGCTGACTGCCGGCTGCCTGCAATTTGGCAATTCGAATCTCACCAGGCTCAGGATTGACTCAGCCGTCCATCCTTCCGAGGTCGGTAAAATGAGGAGCCAGATTGTTGGGGGCTGACTCTGTAAACCACTTAGGGAGGACTGTAAAGCACTGCAAATGCTATCGTGAAACAGGACCTGAGAGATATTGATAGGGGCCCCCAGTTGTCCTTGTTAATGACCCAAAGCTGTCACCAGCTTTGACCATTGGAGTTTTTTTAGGAAAGTCTTGAAGACAAATTGCTGCCAGTGATCAACTGGTCAGCTCTTAAAGCCAACTCGTAGGAAGGCATCGTACTGAAGGCAATTATGTTTTTTAAAAAATGGCTTCTGTATCGTTTACTGCGAGTGTTTTGGACCTTCCTGTCATATGTTTCTGGCCGTATCTGTCTGCCACAGGT